TTTATTTCATGCTACAGATTCTTTGGATAGCTTTAAAAAATTTATTACTGGCTCTATGGAGAGGAGGCCAGAGAGAGGTTAGAGTGGGACTGTTTCTCATGAAAAAGAGCTCTAAGAGTAGTTACTTTGTTTTTTACTTTGCTCTGCCAATGGTCAGGACCCATGGTTACTCTTTGCAACTATACATCTTCACCTCCCATGAAATCAGAATCTTCTTACTACTCACAATGCTTGAGGGCTGTTTCAGGTCTTTGGAGGGTGTGTCTTAATTAATGAACTCCCTAATACCTGGTGCAGACTGATCAATCCTATGCCCCCTCTACTGACTTCTCGGAGGAGGCCTACCCCTGTAAGATATGAGGACAACTTCCTTGATCTTACTAAAAATTCCAAAGTGACGCTGAGCTCAGGAATTCAGAGAATCCTAGTTCCGAGTTTCCTCTGTTTGCCTTCCAGTCAAGGGAGGCTTACTGAGCCACTTACCATAAAATTGTGTTCAGTACCACCCATCTGTTTTGTGAGAAATAATTATTTGCACAGAGTATGTTGAGTGTCAGCTTATTACAGAGCTTTGGCTCTCTCTAGAGAAATGGGAACAGTAAATTCAAAATATACTGATGACGAATGGACCATCTTGGGAGGCATGCAGAATTCACAGCAGGCACCACAGACGTGCCAGAGAGGTCAGCGGCATTCTCAGAGACGTGCAGATGCCTGCCACTCTCCGTGACGGTCCCAGCCATAAAAGCAAATGAGCCAGTAGCATGGAGGAGTTAAGGTTTGGGCACAGACTAACTCACATGCTCTGCATCATAATAATCAGACACAATGGACATCCAAAACAACGTTTCAGTGAAGTCCAGAACATAGCAAGAGTCACTGGACCACTCTCACAAATAGCAAAGAAATGGAAGGAAGTTTTCAAGATAAATAACCAAATACCAAAGAAAAGGAAATATTGTTTGTTCTCCACTTCCCTTCATTTTGGTCATCAGCAGAATTAGTTTATTAAGGATCTAGGGCAACCAATTATGATATAAAGATACAGAGATGCAGCACCTTTCCTCCAGAGAATTACAAACTAAAATTTATCACTTATTATATTACGTGATGCTACTTGTCAGAAATAATGCGTAGATCAGAAACAACACTCAAGCTGTACAGAAAATAATCTCTCAATAACACACCAAAAACATATACACTTTTTTGTTCAGATATACAAGCACCTACTGAGTGCCTGTTACCAGGGACCCTAGTTAGATACAATAAGGAAAATAAATAGGTATGCAGATGCTGGTTTGATGCCTTGGGAGCTTGCTGGGTGAAATTTGAAATTGGTTATCAATCATACAGGGAGGGTTAAGAGAGACCAGAGAAGGGGCAGACCCTCCAGACTGTGGGTGGAAGGTTTAATAAGCAGGGATCTTATATACAAGGCTTTCTTGGGCATCAACAAGAGGAGTGAATCTCCTGGATTGCCTGTCAGAATCTTAAAAGTTTACAGAGAGGTCCCAACTGGGTCCAGTCAGACTGTCCCACCCAGTCTCAGCATCCCCTTCCTCTCAAGGCTGCATCCTGAAACAGCCCCCACTGTGGGAACAGTGGACAAAATTCATACTCTAAGGATGGGGGACCAAGGAGGAGGCTTCCACTGCCTGGGTCTTGCTCTTGGGTCAACCAGAGGTCATGTTCTCTCTATGATCTCCTCCAGCAGTCAATATTATAATGAAATAAAATATGTTACTGCTTAAAATGCTTGACGATTGTTCTCATTGTTAAGACATTCTGATGAGTAATTATATACAGTCTTGCTATCGCAAGATTATGTAAGAATGAAAAAATTTGGAACGTTTATGCTTTGTACCCTTAGAATATTTATGAGCTACTTAAGCTTACCATCACTCTTTTATAATCTACTAAAAAAAATAATCAAAACGTATTAATCTCCTCGATGGCCAAGACTTGATCAAGCATGTTCCATGGCAGCCCTTAGCACCTGTCTTGTTCAAATGGGCATTCGGGAATACATACTGACCTGAAAGGATCTTTCTGTTTCTGAGGACAGACACGAGGTTTTCTCCTACCTAATAGACACGAGGTTGACTCTTTGAAAATGCTCCAAACAAAACTCAACAATAATATTGGGAATTATAACCAAAACAGCAGTTCTGTGTTTTGTTTGCTAACAGATTTCTTCTTAGGAAAAGATTTTATTATTGAATCTATAAATTGATGATTGATTTAACCTTAAAGTACTACCCTTCACTGGATTACCACAGAATTTTTAAATGTATGTTTTGTATGCTTATATTTTACCCATCATTTTTTCTTCCATATCTTTTCTCTTTCATTGTATTCAAAAGTGTCATGATTCTCTTTCCCTGAAATTGAGGAGAATGTTTTTTGTGAGATCCTAAGAAAATCTATATGTCATAGGATAAGTCTTGCACCCTCAAATTTAAAATAAGTAAAAAAATTTTAATAATTAAAGGTAAAATTTTACTTAAAATACCAGTTTTCAGCTTACTTATATTATACACATCCGGTTTAACAAACTGTCAGATGATTAATTTCTTTCTCAATCTCAGATAGTTACTTTTACTCAAAGAAGCAATATTTTTTTAGTAAAAAACACAGTAGTCAATTCTACTGTGTTCATTTGTTTCTACCAAGCAACAGTATAAAATGAGCTGGATGTCATACCCTTCTCATTATCATAATTTTTGTGATATTTATTGAACATTTAGTACTTGGGAAGATAGAATTGTCTCGAGATATAGTAACTGATGTGATAGAAATTATTAGACTTACATGTGAGATCTATTTGTTCTTATCACCTTTTAAGAGAAAGAGACTATCATTATGTCAGAATGCTCTGAGATGCATGAGTATATTTACTCTGTTAATACATGTATCTTCCTTTTCTTTAATAAATTTCAGTTGAAGATCAATGTAAGTGAAATTCTTTGTTGATGCATTTAATAATATAAAAGAAAAGGAGTTTGGAGAGTAGTCAAAATTTCTTGCTTTAATTTTACTTATTATGTTATTTACTTATTTTCGGAGTAGAAAATGGCAACTCACTCCAGTATTCTTGCCTGGAAAATCCCAAGACAGAGGACCCTGGCAGGCTACAGTCCACACGGTCACAAAGAATCAGACACGACTCAGCAGCTGAGTACTAGCACTATTTACTTATTTATCTGTTTATCTGCACAGGTAACTTTCCCAAGTACTGAACTTTACTTACTGTGTTCCTGCCCTCCCTGAGAACCGCCTATGCTCAGTACAGATTGGATATTCTGGCACCTTCCGATCCACCCCAGATTTTCCTCCAATCTCCTGGAAATTAATCAGTCCTAGGCTTCCCCTCCAGAGTAAAGTCCATGAATGTTATGGCTCTTACTCCCTCTAAAGAGAGGTTTTTGCTCACTTCTAGATTCAGAGCTGTGTTCCACAGAGATTCGGGCACATCTGACCTCCTGGGCAGTGAAACGTTTATACACCAAGAGTTACATTTTCACTTTTGTTCACTTGTCCCATGTCCACTATGTTTATTTGCCAAACTTCCTCTAAAAGACTGCCAGTGAGCTCTGGATCAAATTTCACACTTGTTCATAGCAACTCTTACTGATGTATTTATTTACCATCTATCTGGTTCCATCAAGGTTTTATCACTCCTAAGCCTTCATAGTTAACATATCTGAGTGTTCCTTTTACTTTGAAACGCATTTCAGCTTTCTCTTTCTATATAAACAAAGCCTGGATATGTACTTGCTAAGTAAGTCAGGCCAAAAGCAGTTTGAAAATAACAGGTTCAGCTGAGGGATTTCACATACATTATAGTTAATGCTCGTAACAGCCTTCCGATTAGGTATCCCTGCTCCCCATCAACAAGCGAGTTAACTCAGACACAAAAGGCTTAAACAAAATCCCATCATCCCACATTTAGAAGTGATGGAGTGAGGATCCTCATCAGATCTTTCTGATTCAAAACCCCTGGTTAGTTCTACAGTAATTCATAGCTTTTTAAAACAGTCCAAATGTTTAAACAATCACCTGAAGAGAGGTCCACGGTCAGTATTCAAAATGACACAAATCCTTTAAGGATTTTATATATTTTATCCAATATATTTCTTCAAGACCTTGAAATTTTAACATACTTTAGGAGTTTTCAACTCAATATGGTTTTTTCTTCCACCTTTCAAGTTTTAATATCATTACTAGCGCTTAAATCTCAATGTCAGACATCCAGAACAATGCATTCTCATGAGTTCAAGAAGTCACAGTCTTATAGTCAATACAGTTTTAGTTTTTGCTACTTGCACAGCTATTAAAATAAGCCATGCCCTGTTCTAACATTAACTCAGAAGCTGCAGTAACTTTATAAACACAATTAATCTCCTAAGCCTATCGGGTGAACCATGAACAATACATTCTACTCGAGGTTACAGTACATTCTGTGTTTGAGCAAACAGAAGTGAGCACTGTGTTTACTGACACTGAATTTCTTAGCATCAAGGTAAAGCAACTTTTACAAATTTTACTGCCAAAAACTAAACTTTTTCAAAAGTAAATTTTATCTTTACATTTTATCATTAACCTTTTCCATAAAAAAATTAAAATTCTCAGATTTCCCTTGACACACATGCCTGGTATCTCTGAAATTGAGTTTTGAATATTCACTAAACTTCATATGAGTAAAGAAAATAATCTCCCAGTATTGAGGTGACCACCACCAGGTCTCAAAATAAATGGATCCTGGTTGTTAAAACAGAGATAAACCATATCATTTAAGTAAATCTAATTTACCCACATTCTAGTAATGACATCATATTAATAATTTTATCACACTGTTTTCAGTAAAACCCTTGGAACTTTCAAGGTCATTGACCAGAAAAACAGGGAAATATAGGTGCCTGGTATAACTTTTTCAAACTATAACTGATTTTTACTGTTAGTTACATCATAAATCCGTGTTTGTGAAATATCAGTCTTACCGTCAGTTTCTCCTCTAAATTCTCATTTAATAAGCTTCCTTTTTCATGCTTTTCAAAGTCCATGTTGAAAGAAAATGAGAGAGAGAGAGAGAGAGAGAGAGAGAGAAAAGGCAAGATTCCGATTCTGTCTAGAAAATGATGTGACGTGCTTACATGTTAGATATTGCAGGACATTCCAAGTTGTGAGAGCCCAGGACACTATCAGAAAGCCCTGGCGATAATTTCTGGTTAGCTAGTGTTTCCATTTATAGCTGCTCACACCCCATAAACAGAGCCCTGAAGAGACATCAAGCAGCTGGCCTTAGATAATGATAAATGTCACTAGATAAGAAAGCAAGTCCTCAACAGGAGATCATCCCTACATGTTAGGCTCCCTGAGCCAAGAAAGATGTTTGCGACAAAAGCCACTGTCAAAGAATTCGTTAATAGCCACTGCAGCCAAATAAAACATACTATAGAATACGGGCCTAATAAGCAAATTTCAGAAGGACAAATGTGTTGGGAACATCCCTAGTGGTCAGGGGTTGGGACTTAGCCTTCCAGTGCAGGGAGACAGGCAGGCAGGTTCCATCCCTGGCTGGGGAGCTAGGATCCCATATGCCTCACAGCCAAAAAGACCAGAAGCGATATTGTGATAAATTCAATAAAGACTTTAAAAATGGTCCACATCACCTGCTGAATAGCACATGGAACTCTGCTCAATGTTAGGTGCCCCCCTGGATGGGAGAGGGGTTTGAGGGAGAATGGATACATTATATATGCTTGGCTGAGTCACTTTTTGTTCATGGAAACTATCACAACTTTGTTAACTGGCCACACCCCAATATAAAATTAAAAGTTTGAAAAAAATAAAATTAAAATGATCTACATCCAAAAAAAATCTTTAGACACAATCTAAACCTGGCATTCAAGGCTCTGTACTAATGTAAGCTATATAAATAGAGCATCTTTTTTTTAAAATCTCTGTATCAATAAATGAGAATAACGCTAAAAAAAAATCTTTACAAAATAAAATTAAAGGACAAATGCAATGGTCTTATAGCAAATATGAATCAGCCAATATGAATCTAATTCCAATGTGAATCCTGGCAATCTAGACATTTATGCCTTATTCTGTAGTTCAAAACTTTAAAAAGTCACTTCGAGGAAAGCACAAAGTTAACTAATTAAAGCTATTCAGACACACAACATATATATTCAAGAGGTGCTGTCAGCTTTATTCCATGAAAAGTAGGCAAATGATGTCTACAAACTTCATAAAAGAAAAGTGATATTTTCCTTCACAAACATTTTTTTTTTTCATTATCCTGGATTTTTTTCTGGGAACAAAGTTATGACATAGAACACGAAACTCACTTTTTCCAGTCGAACAAATGTTCCCCGAATTCTTTAGAAATAGTTATATGCCTGAAAAAGAATTAACTGTGTAGCGCAATGGTAATTAACTCCCTGTTTTTTACAGTGAACTAGATACGTGGATGGCAATAAAAACGGCTTTCAGAGTAAGTTAAGACTGAGCTCTACAGTGGCCTACTCCCTCAGGCTGTTTCAAAGATCATTTTCACACCTGTTTGTGATTGTAACTCACATTTCCTATCAGTTTTTCCTCCACTTTTTAAAGAAAATATTTCAGGAAACGGGTTGCGAGGCTCTGACCTTTGGCGTGATCACAGCTGGCTCTCTGTCATCAGGCCGGGTGCACTAGGCTTATTCCGCATCAGGATGGAAGGGCCGAGGATTCTAGAAGTGAAACATATAGCAGAAATAAACCTAGCCACCACTGCTTCAGGATGAGACTTCAGAAAATTCTATCAGACTCATGGGCAAAAGTGGTTTCCCTCTTTGGCTCCACTCCAAGTTCCAGAAAGGGAATCACGCACGCTAGTTATTATTCTAACAAGTTTGGAAATGTAAGTCTTAGAGGTTGATTAGCATGCAAGATCCATATGTGTCAAAAGCAAGGCAAGAGCTGACATTTCATGTGAAGATGAAACGGAGCAGGACCTCATGGTCCGTCCCCTCCATGGCCTCTGCCTGCCTTTTGTCTGTGAGAAACCTTAGCCAAAGAATAAGTTTAATCAGAGAAGTGAGACAATGCAGAAACAAAGGAAAAGAGTCCAACAAGATTAATAATAGTAGTCATCAAGAATCAAAGACCTTTAGTTCCTTCTCAAGAACCATAGATACTATTCTGAGCCACACCCCGTGAGCTGTCTTATAGATACTGAAGCCTCAGATGGGAGAACCTAACTGCGTGCTGACCACACTGTAGGCATAACACAGCATCACAGTTCTGAGAACTGGCCTCAAAGAAATGGGGGGGGGGGGGGAGTGACCCTGGAATTGAAGATTAACTGTATTTAAAACAATCAAGATGGCACTGATCAGACCACTGATGACCAATTTCAAGAGGACTGTCAGAGCTGCCTGTACTGTTGCCACATGGAGTCCCCTTCCTCCGTCTGTAAAAGCTCTGGCCCACTGATCATCAGAGGTGGGATCAGATTTTGGATAGAAGTCTGCCCTCCTCCTCCCATCCCACCCACCGCTTGCCGGCATTCAAACTAAAGCCAACTTTTCTTTCCCCGACCTTGCCTCTATATTGGCTGTTGCACAGTGAGCAGCTGGACCTCACTTTCAGTTACAAAGGAGACTTCCCAAAATCTCTCTAGGAAAAAAAAAAAATACAACCCAGCATACTATGGCTGCAAAAGAAAGCTTGGTCACTGCTAGTATAATGGCTGAAGGTGAAATCTATGACCCAGCTGGGAGTAAAGGGAGGGTGGGATGCAAAGCTGGTTGGGGAAGGAGCAGATGCCAGTGATAATGAGAAGAATGGAAAGTTTAATTAAACAAACGTGTACTGAGTATACATAATGGTGAAGAGTACTAGGTGCAGGCAGATTTTTTTTAAATAATGAATAAAAATAATAAAAAATGCAAAGATATAATCTCTGCTTTCCTTCCTCCAACAAGCTCACAATGTAGGTGTGACTGAATATGAATAAGATAACAGCACTCTTACACAGCACACCCCAACAGCACTCACCATGAGCCAGCAACGGCTTTAAGAGTTTGCATATATTGTCTCAATTAATTCTCTAAACCACTTGTAGGAGGCAGATACTACTCTACATACTTATTCTTAGTGTTTGTTAAACACTTCTAGGTAGACATTATTATTTTCTCCATTGTTACCAGCTGAACTGTCTTCCCCCCAAAATTTACAGTGGAAATCCCAACCCCTCCCCCCGCCCAGTCTCTCAGAATAAGACAATATTTAGAGATAGGATCTTTACAGAGGTAATTAAGTTAAGATGAAGGGATCCAGGTGACTCTGCAGAGATGTCTGGTCAGAGGAAGGAACATGTTCATTGTTATTGATAAACAAGAAGGAGACTCATATAGCTCTTCTCTTCTGTTGGACCAGCAAGTGCATGAGGGTTGGCTTTTATATGGGCATAATTTTACCTAAGGAAACTCCTGATCCTTAAACATATGTAAAATATATTTAAGCATATCCCTCCAGAGTCACATGGCTCCCTTTGTCCTTTATCCAGAGCTTCCCCAGTGACCATATAATTTAGCATATCCTCTGTCCATTCATTTGCTGTCTTCTTCTCCATAGTTCTTATCATTTCTGCCACTCTATCATTATACATGATGTTTGAAGTTTTGTTGTCATTGTTGTTCAGTTGCCCACTCATGTCCGACTCTTTGTGACCCCATGGGCTGCAGCACACCAGACCTCACTGTCCCTCAACATCTCCCAAAGTTTGCCCAAGTTCATTTCCATTGCATTGGTGATGCCATCCAACCATCTCAATCTCTTCTCCTTCTGCCCTCAGTCTTTCCCAGGATCAGGGACTTTTCCAATGAGTTGGCTGTTTGTATCAGATGAACACAGTACTGGAGATTCAGCTTCAGCATCAGTCCCTCCAATGAGTATTCAGGGTTGATTTCCCTTAAGATTAACTGGTTTGATCTCTTTGCTGCCCAAGCAACTCTCAGGAGTCTTCTCCAGCACTACAGTTTGAAGGCATCAATTCTTTGGTGCTCTGCCTTCTTTATGGTCCAGCTCTCACATCCACATGACCACTGGGAAGACCATAGCCTTGACTATACAGACCTTTGTTGGCAGAGTAATGTCTCTGCTTTTCAACACACTGTCTAGGTTTGTCACAGTTCTTCTGCCAAGAAGCAGTCATCTTCTGATTTCATGACTGCAGTAACCATCTGCAGTGATTCTGGAGCCTAAGAAGAGGAAATCTGTCACTACTAATGGGGCCAGATGCCCTGATCTTAGTTTTTTAATATTTAGCCTTAAACCGGCTCTTTGACTCTCCTCTTCCACCTTCATCAAGAGGCTCTTTAGTTCCGCTTCTCTTTCTGCCGTTAGATTGGTATCATCCACATATCTGAGGTTGTTGATGTTTCTCCCACCTATCTTGATTCCAGCTTGCATGTCTCATGATGTGCTCAGTGTACAGGTTAAACAAACATGGTGACAGCAGGCAGCCCTGTCACACTCCTTTCTCAGTCTTGAACCAATCAGTTGTTCATACAGGGTTCTAACTGTTGCTTGTTGACCCGCATACAGGTTTCTTAGGAGATGGGTAAGATGGTCTGGTATCCCCATGACAATTTGTCATGATCCACATAGTCAAAGGCTTTAGAGTAGTTGATGAAACAGAAATAGATGTTTTTCTGAAATTCCCTTGCTTTCTTTATAATCCAGCAAATGTTGGCAATTTGATCTCTGGTTCCTCTTCCTTTTCTAAACCCAGCTTGGACATCTGAAAGTTCCTGGTTCGCATAATGCTGAAGCCTAGAATGCAAGATTTTAAGCATGACCTTACTAGCATGGAAGCTGAGTGCAATTGATCTGAAGTTTATCCATATCTAATATTTATTTGCAGTTCATATCTCCTATACAGTAAGTCCCCTACATGCAAACCTTCAAGTTGCAAACTTTGAAAGATGCAAATGTGTGTTTCATCGGTGCCAAGTGCGAATGAAGCTACAGGTTGCTCTCCAACTCCTATTGCTGACAACCCTTCAGC